GCAGGGCCAATATCACAGGTAGGCCTGGTCTAAGACATTGCGCCAGTCGCGCTGGTGCACGACCGCGTGACGTAGGCTGGCCCATGCACCGAGCGCGGGCGACGCAGCCGGCCCACGGGTGCGCGCCCGGCCGCCACCGAAGATGAAGAAGCGGAGGGGGGCTCGCTGTGGGCGCGCTAGGGGTCGTTGGAGCTCCAGCGCGCTAGGGCCGGTGGGGGTGGGGGCGGGGGCGAGTACAGCGGGAGGCGGGGTTGAGGATGACGGCGAGGGAGGGGCAGCGGAGGAGCACGGAGAGGGAGAAAAGGGCAGGGGAGGAGGTGGACGCGCGGTAGACCATCGGGTCGTGCTATAACATCGTTCATTTCTAAAGGGAAATAGGAGTCCGCATATTATATTATGTGTATATGGCCTGTTTGAAATATAGAAAAAAAATTGTGTACTATATCTTTGTGTGAAATTAAATTAATTCCTATAAAATTCATAAACGCATGCGAAATGCATCTTGTTCCGTCCCCCATTCCCGCTCAAAGAAAGCTTCATGCAACCACCCATAAAGGTGCATGACGCCGATCTCTTCCACATTAAGAAGCGGCCCGGCCATTAGGTGCGCCGGGCCATACAAGTATCAGTACCACGATGGAGCTGTCCATATTGCTGGTGCCAACCGTGGCTACACACGACACTTCACGCTGCAATAACCAAGCCGCCGTTGGAGCTGCACTCCCTGATTGTGCAGGTCATTTCACTGGGGCGTGTACGCGCACGGCTCCTGACAATGTAACGCTGCTGCTGGCTCTCGCTCCATTAACCACCAAACCGGCTCGAAAAGGTGCTTTTCGTGTCTGTGTTAAGAGTAATATAATACAGTGCACTGTGCAGTACGTAACGTCGCCGTACCATCCAACGGCCAACCGTTTTTGCAAATCTGTCGTGCTGTGCTGGCTTTCATTTCCACCGCTTAACTGATTGATGGCATGGCGGGATGCCGTCGTTCTAACCGTGCGCGTTTATCTGCCTGTCAGTGTCAGGCTTCTCTGATTAGGACCTGCACGCCGCTGAAAGTCTCTTGGACAAATTTTGCTGGCAACGCGAGGAGGTCCACGATGCAAACATGATGGCCCATGGCCGTATATACGCAAGAAGGGTGCCTGCTGTCAGTTACTAAGTCACGCGATGGTGGGTGAATACATTCATTGTGATCCAAAATGTATGGAGCATGGATCATGCCCTCATGCGTTGTTCGTCCCTAGTGGCGATGCCTCTCGAGTCTGTCCCTCCGTCACCGTGCAGATAATCGGATTCTTACGGATAGCTGTGATGGATGTCATTCGTTTAGATGTCAGTAGCTGCTGACCGACTGCTCCTGCTCTAGCTCGTTGCCATCTAAATTATTTTCGATAATAACTTTCTTTATATCTAAAATATTAGAAACGATAGGCAATATAAACGACAAAGAACAGTAGATCAAACATAGGGGACACGAGATTTTAACGTGGAAAACCCTTCCAAGGAAGAAGGAAAAAAACAACGGACACCAGCCAGCAAATCTTCACTATATCGGATGATGTTACAAACGTCGGGGATTTACAACTTTTCTTATCCCAAGACGACGGCTTACAGGAAGTATATATAGATGGAAAACCCTAATAGGCGACGATCCATACCTCCCGGCGACGGGCCTCACTTCGCTCCGACAGAAGTTAGTTTTTATCTTATACATAACCGAATTTAGATCACAGCTCAACAAAAAAAAAAGTCAGATGTCAGCCGGCTGCAGCTAGAGCGTCAGCTAATCGGATCGGATGCAGACGCGCAGAGGGTGTTTGCTTGGTGGAGTCAAAGTAGTCTGTCATCATCATCTCACTCTTTAGTTTTTTTTTATTTATGAAATAGAATGAGATGATCTATCACCATCTGATTCCTCGTAAGCTAATAACTAGTAGTACTACTATAAGGAAGGGGTTAATTTCACTAAATTTGAGGAACTACAATGTGTTAATTCTTCAAGCTAAAGGAGCAAAGGGAACCGCAGCTTCTGGAAATGGCGTGATCAATACTAGTAGCCACTTTATTACCAACACAAGATAAGCCCTTGTTTAGTTCGCGAAATTTGGATTTTGGGGCTACTGTAGCACCTTCGTTTTTATTTGGTAAATAGTGTTTAAACATGGACTAATTAGACTTAAAACGTTCGTCTCGTAATTTCCCACCAAACTGTGCAATTAGTTTTTCTTTTCGTCTACATTTAATGCTCCATGCATGGGCCGCAAACATTCGATGTGACAGGTACTGTAGCAACTTTTTGGAATTTAGGGTGTAACTAAACAAGCCGTAAGCTGTACAGAAATGGCGTAAAAAACTTGGAAGTAATAATGGAGATTATAGGGCGCGTTTGGCCGGGCTCCCGCCGGCTCTGGCTCCCACACTGTAGCGCAACTGTAGCGCGCAGGAGCTGGAGCCGGAGGAGGAAAAAAAAACGAGCTTCTCCGGCTCCGGCGCTGTTAGTGAGAGAGGAAAGGAGGAGAGAGAGAAAAACGGCTCCGGTGAGCAGTGTCGCTACAGAAGATAAACATGAGAGGAGTCAGAGCCGTCCAAAGCCCGGCCAAACAGGCTCTATATGATCGCTTCTTCTGCTTGTGGAAATCCCCCAAATCAGTCGTCAGAATCGGTTGCCTCCTGAATGACTGGAACGACGTAAACGATCTTTTGCATGATTTCTGTATGTAGCTAGCTCGGCCTCGTCTACCGTTTGCACTGGACCTTTCTTTCTCTAGACTCTCTATAAAGAGATGCACGTAGCTGTTACTGTGTATTACCTGGCGACCTAGATTCTATATATACCATTATTACATAATTGATTTTCAGATACGCACGCCTCTAATTTTTACCAAAGGAGGCTGAATCAACAACAGTCTCTATAGAGGTCTTCATCAGGCATTCAGGGTCCATCAAGTGAACCACATTTGAAAATAGGAAAAAGTCTACTTAACCTCCCCATATTTCATACTTGGTCTACTTCACCTCCAACTATGAAACCGTCTGTTTTACCTTCTGAACTTTCTAAAACCGTCTATTTTACTCCCTGGACGGTTTTCAGCGGGGCTCTTAACATTATTGTCTAACTATAAAGCATGTCTATTACGTGTGAAAAATAGACGCCTGATGGTTCTAGTCCAGACGACTCCCTCCCTCTTTCGGCTTCAGCCTTTCACAGGATTGCGGTGGCACATGGACAAGTGAGGGACGGCACCGAAGATCGGGGTTGACTCGGATTAATTGCAGTTTAGGAATGCGGATGGGGTACCGCATTCTGTTCATACAGTTGCGCCAAGGACCTAATCCCAGTATTTTAGTCGTATTGTCCTAAATCAATAGCGACTGTTTTCTAATTTTCTTGTAGTAGAAGAATTTTAAGCATACAGTGGGACATCTTGCAACAGTCCCCATGAGGAGTACACTGCATAGTACCCATGAAGAATTTGATGCAGGAGGCACCGACAATTCATTAGCCCAAAGGCCACAACACACTGATGCAACTTGGTCATGGCATTCCCAAAACTCCCTCCGTTGTATCTTAAGTTCAATCAATTATAGATAAAAACTATCAATATTTATGATATCAAATAAATATAAGTAGATTAACTACTAAATGTATTTTTATAATAAATTATTTTAGAGTCATAAATGTGAATAATATTTATTAGATTTTTGGTTAAACGTGAATTACTTTGCTAACACGCAATACGTACGTTCACGTATGAATCAGGCCATGCGGGGGGGAAAGGTGGCGGGTTGCGGTGCAGGTATGGAAGTGAAGTAGTACTGAAGTTCTTGTCCTGCAACCAACTCCCAACCAAAAGGAAGACGAGCTGGCCCCGAGTTTCCACGCTCCATTACTTGTCCGCGGCCCGCCGGCCTTCAGATCGACCTCGTTCCGCTCCAAGTCGCAAACGGCGATATTGATGTGCGTCATCAGTACAGAAACAGATGCACCCTTCCCCGTCGGTGATGATGGCTCGATCTGCAGCCCCCGGCAAGGAAGACATGCCGACCAGAGCATCCGTCTCTCAGTAAAGCGCTTCGAACCGTACGCTGATCGCTGCAACTACCAGACAGAGACCGTAGTTATGGCCCTAGCTGGTGGATATGGTTCGAGGAGGGCTTATTTAGATTGTCTCAAAATTTTAAGTTTTTTCACTCTTTCTCCATCACATTAATTTTTAGACGCATGTATGGAACATTAAATGTAGTTAAAAAAATAATTAATTACACAGTTTGGTTGTAAATCATGAGACGAATCTTTTAAGCCTAGTTAGTCCATGATCGGACAAAGTTTGTCAAATACAAACGAAACGTGTTACAGTGTCCAGATTACAAAAATTTGAATCTAAACAAGGCCGTGGGTTCGGCTGACACCATACTTAGATCCGCTTCTTTTTTTTATCCGAAACCATGTTTTTTCTCTCGTAGATTCATCCGTAAACGAAACTTTTTCGGTTGCTACAGTGATTTTCGTGTCAGCTAATTGTTCGTAGCGTATCCTGTGCCATAGTCCCATCGAAATAAATAAATAATGTTATCTTTTTCAGCTTGTTTTTTTTGAGTTGAAACCGTATTTTTCTCTCCTAATAAATCAGCTGGAACAATATTTCGACTTGTTTTCCAGCGAAGCGAACTGTACTCGCCTACTGTACTAGGTCTCGCAAAAGAAGAAGAAGATGATGCTACACGTAGGAATATTTGTATAGGTATATATACGTATACGTATACACCCGGCTCCAGCCACGGACGACGGAGCTGCTGTCCGCCGGTCGCTAGCAGGTGGTTTCCCAGCACAACCGTCTTCACCGCGCGGCGCGCGAACAGGCCGGCCGGTGCCGTGCCGTCGCACGTCGGCTTGGGACGGTGACGGCCTGACGGGCATTCAATGGCGCGCGGCAGGCAGCCAGGTGGGGGGCAGTTGAGTTGAGTTGCCGCGATACACAGTTCCCATATGGCCCATGGGCCATGGCCGCCCCGGTCGTGGTCTTGTCCCAGTACGGCTCTCTCTACTACCCATACCCTACCTCTGTGCCAGTGTGCCGCCTGTGCGGCTGTGCGTGGTGCGTGCTGACCGCCGAGCGAGCAACGCTGGACTTGGACCCGGCCGATCCCCGGTGGTTCAATCAGTGATGGCACTCTATTACTGCGGCTGCTGTGCCCCAGAGCTGAGCAGCAGTGGAATACCAATTAATTCTCCCAACTCCAATCTACCCCCTGGTTTTGGTTATAAATATTGGCTAGTACCACCTGCTGCAGGGCCATCATCGTCTGCATCGCTCGCTCTCCTTTCACTGGGAAGAACATCTATCAGCTTGCTCATTGGCCATCTTCGATTGTCTTCCATGGAGAGGCTCCTCGCCGGCCTACTTGGCTTCCTATTGGTCAGTCCCTCTCACTGCCACGCAGTTCATCTTGTGCATCTTTTCTCCCATCATTTGCTTCATCAGCCTTACATGTATCGATAGATATGAGGGAAGGAATGTCGTTTCGTCTTTTTCAGTAATGGTTTCTACAACATTAGTACACGGTTGCTAGCTAGTGATGCCTATTAACCCTATTAACATATGCTGTTGCATGTGAATTTGAAAACATTCAGAAGAGATTCAGCTTATAACATATATAAGATGTATGCTTTCTAATTGTTTGAGATTTTTTTTCTATTGGTATATATCGATGCATTTTCAGGCGATGTTAAGGTTTTTTCCACTTTCACCCTAGTAATGAAATAAGGTAGACACGATCTCTGATGCAAAGAGAGAGCTCTTGTGGTTTGAATGCAGATCGCGTCAGTAGGAAGCCATGCAGCTCGTGCTCCGGATCAATACTGGAAGTCTGCTCTTCCCGACACTCCCATGCCGACCTCCCTCTCCCAACTCCTCAACACCCCAGGTATAACAATTTAACAGACAGCTCCAGATCTTCAGGCTTCAGTATGTACTCCAGATACTTTATATAGGTATGTCCATCACACAAACACACGTAGCACTAACACCTCTTCCTTGCTTATATATACGCAGCCGGAGGCACGACCGTCAACGTCGGCTGGGGCGGTGTCCACGTCGATGCCGGGCGCGGTAAGCCCGGTGGTACGACGGTTGACGTAAGGCAAGGGCGGCGTCGGCGTCAACGTTAACCCCGGCAGCAGCGGCAAGAAGCCCGGCGGCACCACGGTCGGCGTTGGGGAAATGGGGAGTCGGCGTTAACGTCAATCCTGGTTATGGGAAGCCCGGCGGCACGACGGTTGGCGTCAGGAAGGGCGGAGTTGGTGTTAACGTCAACCCCGGCTACGGGAATCCCGGTGGCACCACTGTTGGCATCGGGAAGGGTGGCGTTGGCGTTAACGTCAACCCTGGCAAGCCCGGCGGCAGTGGCACCACGGTCGGCGTTGGCAAGGGCGGCGTTGGCGTCAACGTCAATCCTGGCTACGGCAAGCCCGGTGGCACCACGGTCGGCGTCGGCAAGGGCGGAGTGGGCGTCAACGTCAATCCTGGCAAGCCGGGTGGTACCGGCACAACCGTTGGCGTTGGCAAAGGCGGCGTGGGCGTGGGCGTCAATCCCGGGTACGGCAAGCCGGGCGGCACCACGGTTGGCGTTGGCAAGGGCGGGGTTGGCGTCCACGTGAACCCGCGCAAGAAGCCCGTCAACGTCAACGTCAGCCCTTTCATTTACAGCTACGCCGCATCAGAGACGCAGCTGCACGACGACCCCAGCGTGGCGCTCTTCTTCCAGGAGAAGGACCTCCAGCCCGGTAAGAAGGTGACCGTCCAGTTCGCCAACACCGCGACCACCGGCGCCAAGTTCCTCCCGCGAAGCGAGGCCGAGGCCATCCCGTTCTCCTCCGAGAAGGTCCCCGAGATCCTCGCCCGCTTCTCGGTGGACCCCGACTCCGTCGAGGCGGCGGAGATGGCGCAGACGTTGCACGACTGCGAGGCGCCCGCGGCCAAGGGCGAGAAGAAGGTGTGCGCCACGTCGCTGGAGTCCATGGTGGACTTCGCCACCACCAGCCTCGGGACCAGCCACGTGAGGGCCGTCTCGACCGTCGTGGCCAAGGAGGGCTCGCCGAAGCAGGAGTACACCATGACCGGCGTGAAGCGCGCGGCCGGCACCGACGACGGCGGCCGCCTCGTGGCCTGCCACGCGGAGCCGTACGCGTACGCCGTGTTCGCGTGCCACCTGACGCAGCAGACGCGGGCGTACACGGTGTCGATGCTCGGCACGGATGGCACGGCCGTGGACGCTGTCGCGGTGTGCCACGCCGACACGTCCGGGTGGAACCCCAAGCACGTCGCCTTCCAGGTGCTCAACGTGAAGCCCGGCACGGTGCCGGTCTGCCACTTCCTGCCGCAGGACCACGTCGTCTGGACCCGCAGCGGCTGAGGCTGCTCTGGATGGCCGCCGTTTGCTCTCTCGTCGCGCCGCCTGATGGAGTGATGGTTTCGTTTCGTTGTGTTCTAGTAGCCTCTGGGCATACTGTCGTTTATATTTCCAATACAGTGCTTGATTGTGTCAAAAAAAAAAAGTACAGTGTTTGATGCTTTGTATGGATGGTGTTGCCAGCCAGTATCGACCACCTGCTTAGATTCTGTTGTATAGTTTTAAATAAACAGACATCTCTTTATGGTTACTGCTGCTCTCAGCCTAAACAAACTTCTGTTGATCTACAACGCTTCGTCTACGCAGACATCTAAACTCAGCCCTACCAACACTTGGTTCATTCCATAGCACGACAGGGCTACCAACACGGTGTAACAAACAGGTACCGACATAAGAGAACTGAACGTGGAATTATGCACAAATTTAAAATGGGAGTACTCCCTCTGTCCAAAAAAACAGTCTATGAATCTCAAGTTTAACCACGTTTATAAAACAAAATTGCTTCCTCCATCCCTGAATAAATAAATTCTAAAAATAAACAAAGATAAATAAATACATCTTGAAGTTTGACTAAGTTTATATAGAAAAGTATCATTAACAAACATATATGAAGCACTATTTGATACGAGTAGTAAAATTCCAGAGTGACCACTAAATACAAAAATAGTTCTGAAGTCATCAAAAGTTCGTTAACTGAACTGCAACAGGGCTAGACAAGTTGAATGCACACTAACAATCAGATGCAACAAAAGCTGATGTAATTACTGTTCACTTAATCAAATGAAATGACATTCCGTATAGAGGGCTAAATGAGGAAATGCTAGATCATCCTCCTAACTATTTCTCTTCCGTATTGGATGATTTTACATGTACATGTTTCCACATTTTCAATGCCTTTGATCTACACTGAAATTCTCCCTAGTTCCATACTCAGCAAACATTCACGAAATTCTGATAATATGTACTTTTTGATAGAAACCATCACAACTATGACCAAGTCTCGATGTTAAGTCTACCAGCCCTTTCTAGATCCCTGAGCCATTTTGAAGCATCTGCTTGTTTGACACCACCTTCTTTACAAATAACCTCCTCTAGTGCAGCTGTAACATCAGCAGGCATTTTCGTCGAAGAGCCCGCAATGTAAATCACTGCATCGGACAGTAATAAGTTCCACACTATTGAACTCTGTTCCTTTATCTTATGTTGCACATAGACCTTTTGAGGCTGATCCCGGGAAAAAGCAACAAATAAACCACCACCCTTTTTCGAGGACAACACCCCCTCATCCTGGGCATGAGTTAACCAGAAATCCTTGTATAGAAAATCGTTATCTTGATTTCTACAGCCAAAGAAGAACAGAACCGGGGCTGTTGGTTCTGCTGCAGACTGTGCAGCCCTTTCCTCTACAAATGCACGGAATGGTGCACATCCTGTTCCTGGTCCTATCAACACAAGAGGAACCATTGGACGTGGAGGAGGAAGGGGATCCTTGGTGTATCCAACACGGGATAAGAATGTCTGCACACAAGCATAATGTGAGAGAGGGTAGGTGGTTGTGTTTTGGTCAGTACTGAGCAGCGTAGCTACAACAGCTAAATGAAGTTAAGCAGAAGAGAGGATACTAATTGCAGCTAACTGAAGCAGAACATACCTTTATTTGGATTGAGCCCGGCCAGCCATGTAGAACAGAGTCCACGCCGGGTTCTCTTGAATGGAGTAACCCATGCTACGATGCTAACGGTCAAATGGATTTGATTTGGGTGTGCCAGTGGGGATGATGAGATGGAAAAGGCTCTTTTCTTCAGTGGAGGTGTTAGTTGCACCAGCCATTCAAAAGGCATTTGAACTGAAGGAAAATCCTCCAACACCTAAAAATGACACAAAATCATGTAACTACTGTGAACCATGGAAATTAACTGAAGAGAAAAATGGGTATATTTACTGCCAAAATTATTCTGCATGACAAGCCATCTTGGAAAGAATGTTGTTATGAAAAGCTTCAGTGAAAGCCTTCCTCACCTCTAGAACAGTCCTACTCTCCTTCTGATTGTACTGGTAAAGATCATCTCTTCCTTCAGGAGAAGCAAAATACTGAAGCCTCTCCTTTTCACGTTCACTTGTTGCAAAAAAGCTCATGACCTACCAAAGAACATTGGAGTTACGTGAGCATTAGCAGCTTCGCATGACATATATTAGTTAGATAGACATCATATCAGGCGATAGATATAAATATGTGACATCAAAAGAATAGAAAAGAGGTTATAAGATTAATTCAAAATATTGGTTCTTGCCTCAAAGAAATATCGACGAGGGGAAGCTGACGCGACATCCATTGTCAAAGCAACAAAGGTCCTTAATTTGATGCGGTCCATCTGGCTATGCACAACTGAACCCTTCGAAACTTTATCCCCACTTCTCACTCCAATCTGAGCAAACAAAAGGACATGCTTTCTCATTAGTAACTAGATAACTGTAACAGATGAGAAGATAAGAAAAATGCACATCTAAGGGCCAGTTTGGCAGCTCTCTGCTCCATGAGATTCAGGTGGAGCGCTGCCAAACGCCACTGCTACCACCCCGCTCCGCATGTGAAGCGCTCCAGCCGTTTGCACTACTGGTGGGGAGTGGAAAAACCTGGTCCCTGTGCTCTGCTCCGCTCCTGTCATACTTCTCCGCTACCCGCCGCCCTTCTTCTCCACCTCCCGCCACTCGCCTCCCCACCGCCCTTCACCCCCGCTACCCTTCTTCGCCGATTCACAACTGGGTGAGCTTGACTCGTGGGAGGAGAGCACAATTTGCCAGAGGCTGACCTCGATCCATGCGAGGAGGTCAATTCGCCGCGGCTGACCCTGACCCAGCCACGTGCTGACTCTGTGCCGCCATCGCCTGAGATGGAGTGACGAGAAGCTCTACCAAACGGTTCATGCGGGAACCTAGAACGACCGGGAGCAGGAGCTAGAGCGACGGGAAGTTGCATTAGAGCTTTACCAAACTGGCCCTAATTATCTCCCTTCTAACAGATGAACTTTATCATTTCAGGAAAGAAAGGTGTAATTGTCTAAACCATATGATAAACTGATTGTAAAACGAAAATGTTGTTAAGCCAGCTGTATTTACAGCTACTAATGGGGATACAACAAGTATTGGAAAATAAAGAAAGTTGCTGTATCAGGATACCAAAAATACAGTTACAAGTAGATAACTCTATTATACAGAACAAAATAGACTCACGTACCGTTATGTAACAATCTGGATCCAAGTTACAGCGTTCAATGAAGGCATCGACAGCTGATGGATTTTGACTTGGTAGAATTTCAAGAGCATCACCAATTTTATAACTGATGGCCTAACATGAGAAATATGCAATTATGTTCCCATTTCTGAAGTATCACACTTCATAGGAATTCATGAGAAAATTACAGTGTAGTATAAATTACATACTGAAGATGGATCTTCCAATTCAAAGCGGCGAACATCTCTATCAGAACCCTCCTTAGTCAAACGCTTGTTTTTTACCTGAAAAGAGTGTTCAATACCATTAATTCATTAGCAACAGAAACAATAACGAGATTAGTGCTGAATCATGATGCATTGACATAACAGATGGACCATCATTTTCACCAAGCTTGTTGTCTGCCAAACTAGTCTTTAAAAATTGGCATCCAGTATCCACTAGTTAGTTAGTTTTGACTTTATTTCACCACTGTAAACATCTTGGAACGCGGGGCAAAAATCTATCAATCTATAACGTGTAACTTCAAGCTGACCTCAGTACTGAAATGATAGTGATTAGCTGCTCGAATTCAGCTCATTGCAGGCTTGATTCGAACTCGGCTCAACAGGAAATCAAGCGAAGCTCGAGGTCAGGCCAAAGTTGGCAAAACTTTTATCGAGCGATCTCAAGTAGCTTGATGGAGCTCGTGTTAGATGATTTTCTAGCATGTTTATCGCCTTTCAAACTTACAAGCAGTCAACGAAGGCCCAAGGCCCAAGCAAACTAGCAGACCACAGAGCCCACTCCTGTGTCCATCCCTCTGAGTCACCGATGCCAACCCTATCCTAGCGCCGCTTCTTACCAGCGACTAAGTGAGTGCTGCCTCGCGTCACTGACCAGCGACAAGCCGACCACCACATTCCTCACTCTCCATGCCAGTACCCTCCTCCATCCACCATCATGCCTCTCTCCCCTCACGGCCTAGCCGCCCCCTTCACAGCTAGAAATGTACTGCACTGCCACGCTCGACCCCACGAATATCCAGGTTGAGCTCCTGAAGATCTCAACACAGATATACTATTTCTTAAATTTGCTATCTTTTCTTTTCCTTGATTCATCCACTCAAGCATTTTTTGAAGCATCCCTAGACCCTAGTAGTATCTTTGGACTCTAAATTTCTCGTTTGGGATCATGTCTTCCTCCATCCTCCCCATGACCATGACCATGAACTTGGTGTCAATGTAGATGCTGGTGGCGAGCTTTTCCGAGCCAAGCTCGAGCTCCACTGCAAGATCGGCGGGATCCTGAGCTTGCTCGGGCTCTGCTCGAGAGCATGACCAGCTCAAGCCTCAAACAATAAGCAGGTAAGTTAGCTTGAGCTCGGCTCATTGACAGCCCTATTTGGGAGGCACATGCCTTTTTCAACAATGAATTTTGTGAGTACTCAGAGTCCAGATAATAGTTTTAGTACCACAGGAACAAAATTTAAATAATATCCATGACTAGAAATGGTCAGTACGCTGAAATTATTATGGTTTCAAAGCAAAGGAAAACTAATTTAGATATGAACCAAGGATAGAGATAACAATGATTCAAGTTCAAGCTGTGTAAAGAGCATATTACATACCATTTGAAGCATGTAAGGTGGCTCTCCATCAGCATGGAACCGTAGTGCAGGGGACATTGATCTTGCGCTACTTATTATTTTACTGGGGTCTGTGAAATAGACAATAGCTAAAATCATGAACAGGTACTGCAAAATAGAGCATACCAGTAAATAATACCAAGTTCATCCATTCATACCTGAAAGTATAGGATCTTGTGGAACTTCATTGGAAGAGTAATAAATGACATGAACTTTGGGATGCCCCAAAATACTCAAATTAGAATCATTGATATCAGACACTCTAGGTAAGAGTGACGGATTAATTTCATTCAGAGATTTCCACATAGATAGCAACCAAGGATCTAAAGCCCCTTCATATCTGATGTCGCACAATGAAGAAAATCCATTAAAGTTGAGAAATGCTTCTGAGGGAAAAGAAAATGACACTGTACAAATGTTACAACCACAATGTCACAATTATTTACACAAAGCAAGTGAGATATTAAAATCGTACCCTGAAGGGTGTTGGTCATCTCCCAGACCTATCTCTAGGACTGGTTCTGCACCAAGATGTAAAAGCCTTCTATCAAGCTTCTTTGCAGCAAACTGCAGTAGTAAACACACTAATGAAGGGCAAACAGAAACAAGAGGACCATTGCTAACCAGAAGTCATGACTTATGAGAAGCGTATTACAAGCTTACAGCCTCGGTTTGATTGAAATAAGATATACAGTTAAGGATATGTTTAGAATATACCCCTTCCGTTCCAAATTATAAGACGTATTGGCTTTTCTAGATACATTGCTTTTACTATGTATCTAGACATAATGTATATCTAAGTGCATAGCAAAAGCACGTATCTAGAAAAGCCAAAACGTCTGATAATTTGAAATGGAGGGAGTACAAAAGGAAAAGTTACAATGTTGTGTTGAGGTGCATGCAAATGTTATCTGAAGCTGGTACAGTGGTTATATTAGAACTTAAGAATATACTAGCTTCAGTTTACAAGCATTCACCTAATAGTACTAGGACTAAAAAAAGCTTTATATCTCCCCTAAAATATGGTGCTTAACACTTAATCGCTCATCGCAACCACCCAAAGCAAAGGGAACAGAGTCACTATATGTCATTATAACCATATACTATTTTCTAAAGATGCACTGTGTGGAACGTTCTTCTGGCAATAAGTCCCTAAAATGTAGGGAATTAACTGCAATTATTTCAACAATTCTACACACATTATCATACTGATGGCAGCATATAATGATTATTAGCAAGCTCAATTCCACAGAAAAAAGTCTCACATTGTACTTCTGGTAGCCTGAATCCCCGAGTCCAAACACTGCGTGATGGATCCCCTCAAGCCATTGTCTATCCAGATCCTTCCGAAGCAGGTATCTCCAAAACCCCTGCCGCAACATCCAACCAAAATCCCAATAAGCAATTCAGACGACTGGAAATAATCTAGTGGATCAAAATGTCCAGACCTTCATGGAATCCGGGGGATCGCCCTGCCCCGTAGTGGAGACAACAAAGACCACGAACCGCTCGCTTGGCAAGCGACTCTGCACGAACAAACAGAGGCGTCACATTCTCACATGCACGGGTTGTTTGGCTGAGGGCTTTAGGTTTTGGAGCTTACGGGATCGAAGCTGTCCATGGAGAGCACGTCAACGGCCGGGCAGCCGCCACGTTCTGCCTCGCGGCCGACACGCTCTGCGGCGTCCATGGCGTTCCCAGTTTGTGACGCGTAGAGCACGAGGAGGCGGCCGCTGGAGGACGCCGCCGCGTCAGCCTCCGCGGACGAGGGCGCCATGGAGTAAGAGCTCAGAATCCGCTGCCTGCAGTAACCTAGCGGCGGCCAACAAGCGCAGCCAAGAGGCGCCTCAATCGGCTCACTCCGCCCAGGTCACGCAAGCTCCTGCCGCCGCTGCAATGGTTCGCCCGTACGATCGCCTACCTTGAGCTTGGTGCTCGCTGGGCGCACGTGCCTCCCTTGTGTCCGGCGGCGGCGGCAGCGGCGGCGGCGGCGGTTGCCAAGCGAGACTATGAGAGGGGGAAAGGGTAGGAGGGCGAAATAGAGTTGCTTTCTTGCCCTGTTGACCATGACAAGGCCCAACCTATATTAGTATTGGGCCTAGCTCGGGCTGGATTCTAACGTCGTGGTGCCGTGTGGCCTTTCACATTGGGTTCATTCTTTGGTGACGCCCCCATAGGTCTCAACTTTCAAACACTTCCATAGATTTCTTTTTTCAAAAAAAAAAGGAATTTTATTCCGATCTGTGTAAGAGTTTGCATATAACCAAACAAAGAGATATTGACTAAACGCTAAGCCTTTCAAAGACAACAATCCATGCTTGGCGAAATTTCTAGAAACCTTTGACTCTTATAATAATGGATGTTTGATCACAAAACTTATGTAGAAATTGGATAGAAATTCATGATATCTAAAGAAATGAATTCTACATAGGAGTCTAAAGGAATGTCATATAGTGCAATCCTTTGTCTTTATTGAACTGCATGCTCTGACTAGTTTAACTAAAAAACTTAGGCAATTATACAAATGTGCTCCCCTCAAAAACTTAAGTTGTTAGGAAAATGTGCTCCCCTAACGTAGGGCTCCCTTTATCCTTAAACTTGGAAGTAGAAGTCCAGTGCAATTATTTTATTTTGTTTTGTTTATTTTATTGTGCTTGTTGTGATTCGAAGACAAGTAATTCATTTTACTTCAATACTTTTCCTAACGTTGAGGCTCCCTCGTACCTCAGCCTTCAGACATGGATACAAAGGAGCAATTATTTTTATTTATTTAACTAGCAAACATGTTCGCGAGCTACAATGGAACCCAACACGTCTTGACTCTTGAAATCAGATTATGTGTCATCGTTGAACGCTAGCTAAGATTAGAATTTGAAACCTTTGGCTCTAATATCGTATTTAGTTCTATGCCAGTTCAACCCAAAAAAAAAAGACTTAAACTGATGGGTGTCTATAATTCACTTTGTTTTACAACTATCTCAAAATTAAGGAACATACATATAGAATTGGAAACCCTCAAAATTCCCATTTATTGCTCCGGAGTCTGGAAGCTAAGAAAAGACTATCGTCTCGTCTGGCGTTTGATGACAGCTTCAAGCCTCGAGTCTTACATGGATGCATATAAATCATCGAGCAAAATTCATGAATAATGTGTGCATACACATCATGGGGAGCAACGATATATACTGTAATAGTGATGCACAGTCACTTCCAACGGATTTCGTACCTGTCCTAGATGTCGTGTAACACAGAGCGCTTGTTTGTCGGGACACGTAAACCCCTGCTGCTATTTATGTAATCATGTCTACGTCGTCACTCGTCAAGCACGCTGCTATTTATATAAGTAGTCCATTTTTTTTGTAGCTTCTTGATGACAATGCGATCAGAGCTATATCCAATTGCACAGAGGTCGTATCTATCGATATAAGCTAGGTAGCTCAAAAACTATTTGGTTGGAACTTGGAAGCCTGGTAGGCAAATGCCTGCAGGTTCTGGTTTTCGCATGCATTTTTTAGGCAAGGACTGAATGAAGGACACATGCGTGCGCCCGTGCGGCGCCTCACCAAACACGATCTACCAGTCCACAGAAATGACAGAATGGATGCTTCTATTCCATCGCTTTGCATATAATGCATATAGAACTCCAACTAAGCTGCACGGATCAAGAAAAGCTGTGTTCCAAGGAAACGTACGTACGCACTCTCGATCATATTGTTGCTCCAAAAGTAACGAGACAGAGAATAACGTACGCAAGGGCCGTTTCATTCAGCTTTACTACTTCGTGAAACGTGCGCTAGCTGCTCATCATCTTCTTTTTTTTAAAACAGAAATACTATACAATACACATGTGTTTTAGAAAAAAAAACACATAAATTTTTTCTCTCTCTCCCTCTCTTTTCAACTGTCTACGCGTATACGAGAGGACGAGATCAATCCGGCCGGCCGAGCTTGAGAATCAAGCCGTCTAGGCATTTAGCTAATTTGGTCACGCGCACAGCTAGCACGCGCACAGCTAGCACTGAACCTATACGGTGCGCTAGCACTGAACCTATACGCGTATATGCGTGCGGCCAATTTGTTCTTTTGTCTTTTCATAGAAAAAAAATTATTTATTGTGATCTGTGGATCTGTGATCTTGTGATTTATAATTGTCTGGAGGTAGAAGAAGGTTGGAGATAGAAGGAGGATGGAGGCTGTTGGATCTTAATTCTATGGTGAAAAAAAATTATGTGTTGAAACTGCATAAAGCACGTGACTATGCAGTAGACAGACTCTTAAAAAAAGGGCCGGCCGGCAGTAGTCTGGAGCAAGCCTCCGATCCATGCATCGGCGGCCCGGATCGGAAAGGGGAGGGGTAATACCTAAGCCGGGGGGCGGGCGGACGGGGCGGTTGAACGGATTCAGCAGCCACCAGCATTCCAGCATCAGGGGTAGTTGAGATATATATGGTTGCTCACTTGCTCGATTATCTCTCCCTCCCTCTCTCTCTCTCTCTCTCTCTCTCTCTGCAGGCTTTGCGCGTGCACGTTTACCCAACTAAATCTCCTCTCTCATCTTCTGGTGCCTTCTCGTTCACTCACACTTCAGCTAGCTCTGCAAGGACCCGTACGTTGGGCCTGCAGCCTGGTGATGAGTTGCTTCTATAAATCACAAGACATGTTGTCTCATCAACTCTCAAAGGCGCCGGCCTATACACGTGACGACACGTCCCACTAGCTAGAAGGAACGCAGGCGTCGCCCGACGCCCGTAGAACGAGTGGATCCCATGGAGAACCAGCAGCTGCAAGGAGACGAGTCGTCGTCGTCGTACGCGCTCCCCAGCTTCCCCTACTTCGCCGTGCCGACGCCGAGCTTATTACCGCCACCATCGGATGACCAGCACAGTACCCTCATCGTCACAGCGCTCCAGCAGCAACCGTCGTCGGCGTGCAATAACGACGACCTTCCTCTTCAGCTGGGGCCTGATCAGCTAGCGGCGGCGGCGGCGGCGGCTACGGTGCCGCCGTTGATTCTCCCGGCGATGGTGGACTGGTCGGCGCTGCTCCAGCAGGCCAGCTTGATGGGGCCCCTCGCACCGGGACTACTGCAGCTGCAGCAACCGCCCCTGGAGTCGTTGTTGGACCAGAGCGGGGAGAACGACGGCGGCGGCGACGCAGGGAGTAGTAGTAGTAGCAAGGAGAAGGCGGCCAAAGGCGGCGGCGGCGCAGCCGGCGGGAGGTCTGGGAAGAAGAAGGCGAGCAGGCCGCGGTTCGCGTTCCAGACGAGGAGCGTCAACGACATCCTGGACGACGGCTACCGGTGGAGGAAGTACGGGCAGAAGGCCGTCAAGAACAGCGAACACCCCAGGTTCGATTTCTCCATGTTTTCGTTTCAATCATTTTCATGCATGGCATGCATAACCACCGACCTTGATCGGGCGCATATACGAACTTGCTGAAATAATGTGTTTGCACAGCACATGTGTGCATGTAACATATGCGTTTCGACTTTCGATTGGCATGCATGTTTACATATATGCATGCATTCAAATGTCATCAGCTAGGTCATCATCTCGCTTACAATTTAATTAGAAAACAAATGTTGATGGAGGTTCAACGCTCCCTAACTAATTTGCATGGCAGCATGGGTACGGTCGTGTGTGTCAGTGAGTGCGCTAAGCCGTGTGTGTAATTCGTGTCTATAAAACCGCCGCCTAGTATTGTTGTTCGCCAAATTTCTATCTACACATCTACTTGCTTGTCCGCATGCATATTAAAATGACAACATACATGTCGTTCATCTATAGCTAGTCGATGGCCTGGATAGACAGCTGTCTCCAACATAAGACCAAACTTAAAATAGGTCTTCAACATAATACCTATAGCCTACAATAAAGTATCTATATGGAAGACTCATTTTAGGTACCAGTAAAGACATAACCTAAATCTGAGCATCCTCTCTCCTGGAGACTCATGTGTAGAAAGAGTTGTCTTTTAAGTCTTGTTGTTGGAGAAGACAAAAAATAGGTATTTAACCCTTTGCCTACCAAAAAGGATGAATGAGTCTTGTATTTTGGGTCGCGGTTGTTAGAGACAGTCTTAGATGCCATCTACTTCATTCTAAATTATTATTGCTTACTTTTGCTTTGTACTAAGTCATACTTCTTAAACTTTAGCTAGATTTATAAAAAAATATTAATATCTACAAATTTAAATAAATGCCCTATCAAGACATATTCACGAAGAATTTAATGAACTAATTTGGTATTATAGATGTTGTTGAGCATTTTTCCTATAAATTAGATTAAAGTTCGAGAAGTTTGATGTAGCATAAAGCTAAAATTAACTATAATTTCGAAAGAAGAAATTACTAATGGTTTTCATAGAGGAATAGAGCATGCAACATATGCATGCCATTAGTATAGAAACGGTTTTTTATGATGTCTATATTTTTTTTTCATCGGCGGTTCATAAAGGACATACGTCAATAGAAACAAAAGCGTGAGCTCATTGCTACGAACCATTAGTGCAAACATATCTATACTGGTAGTTGGCGCTTAAGGGATGACTACCGGTGTAAATCTTAGATTTATGCTAGCGGTAGCCTTAAAAAGGACGCCGGTGTAAATAGAATCTATAATGGCGGTAGCTTTAAGAAAACTGTGTAAATCCAATATTTATACCGACGGTGGCTTTAAGAAAACTGTCAGTATGGATGTGTTTGAACTGCAGTTTTCTTAAGTTGGTTGCCGGTACAAAGAATTTGATTTTTTTAAATGATCTCGGATGGAGAAAAAACACCTAAACCAAAGTTCAGTGGCGAAGCTAGAGCTGAAACGAGAGGGGTGCATCACTTCAGTAGTACATAACCATATGCAAATATTTACATTGAATTGATTTTTTAAGAGTCAAATACATCAACAATCTCTGAACTTGTAGGCTGCCACATAGATTAAAATGGTGCACTGCACACTCTAAACTTGTAAAATGAGATTACAGTAGTTATATATATATAGTAAAATGAGATTACAGTAGTTATATAACAATATCTGAACAGTATATATATATATAACTACCATGCTAATTTATATAACTACTGTTCTGCAGCTGGCCATAAAATAACTTATTCTATGACCACTTTGAGTTACAATAATTACCATGCTAATTTATGAGATTACAGTAACTCCTTACTAAGTGATTTACTATAACATTATCGTAAATATCACCGTGAGTTGTAGTAACACGAGTATCGTAAATGCATATTCATGTTATCGTAAATTGGTACAAATATTATCGTAAATTAAGGTGGCTATAGAATAAGTTATTCTATGACCAGCTGCAGAATAGCCTTTTATATATATATATATATATATATATATACACCCACACACACTCACGTATTATGCATGCAACATACTCTACTCGCATCGGATCACGTACTAGCTTGTTCCCGTTAACTCACTCGGGGATCGAACCTCTCCTGCAAACTGTAAACAATGCTTCAGTTAATTAAATTCACTACCACACACATATATATATAGGCATCTCGATCTGTTTGGGAAAACTGACGGCCGCCGCTGCTGATACATGTGTATGCAGGAGCTACTACCGGTGCACCCACCATACGTGCAATGTGAAGAAGCAGGTGCAGCGCCTGGCCAAGGATACGAGCATCGTGGTCACTACTTACGAGGGCGTCCATAACCACCCCTGCGAGAAGCTCATGGAAGCGCTAAGCCCCATCCTCAAGCAGCTCCAGTTCCTCTCGCAGTTCTAACCGAAGCTAGCTTTGGTCATTATCCCTATGTATAATTATATATACATACACTGGCACGGCCACCAAAAGGTCAAGCAGACAACATAATAATATACACTCCTAATGCATAAAACTACATATGTGATATGTGTGCATTGTAGTTAGTATTGCACAAGAGAGTACAAACGTATAGTAACCAACTGGAAGGGGGAAGAAAAGGAGAAAAATGTGCCTGCCTCCCCGATACTGCTGATCTCGCATATATATGGCATATACCTTGTATATAAAGTTTACAAATATGTATACTGATGAGGTGGATGAACATATAGTAATACATTTATGTTTTAATCTTCTTTTTAGCATGTCGAGTATATTGCAGTGTAAGCATGCCATCTAAGAGTGTGTTTGGTTGACACCCTCACCTACGGAGCCATGCTAGATTGGTTGATCCAACCCTATACCATGGAAACTGAACACATGTCATTGTTGCCATGGTCAGGCACGTTTCCTAGAGCAACCAAATAGGCTCTGAGACCCAATGAAGGTGATCATGATGATGAGAGTTGGCTCTAAAATGTTGTTATTAGATCAAACCAAGTCTGCTCCAGCCTCGAGGTCATATAAGGTGGGGGTCCTGATATTTGGTTAAGAGACATAGCCACATAGGAGACGGGGTCATCCGCTGACCAAATATTCCCTCAATATGTGGGATAAATCGGTAACAAAAAATTAAGGAATCAATATGGAATGTTGCAATCCTAATCGGTATCTACGAGTATATGTCCCTGTTGATCCCTAAATCGTAACATTTATGCCCCCTGCTGATCCCTAAATTATAACACCTACTAGTCCATAAGTACAAAAAGGTCTACATATATACATGGTCAGGCTTGTCTAGCAACAGTACCAGTCATTTTAGACATTCTGGTAAGTAGTTAATACTCATACAACTTAGGGCTTGTTTGGATTTCCTCGTCTAAACTTTAGAGCTAAAATTCCAAACAAGTGGTTTAAAGTTTAGCCCACCTCACATTAGAGCTTTAGAGCTCAAAAGTGAATTAAAGCGTTCTAAAGCTTTTAGGCTCTAAAGTTTAGAGGAAGGGAACCAAACAGGTCCTTAATATAAACAATAACTTAAGAACATATGTTAATTCGACATAAGTTGCTACATACAAAAAATAGAATCAGCTACTAACATATAGAACATAAGTTGTCATCACGTAAAAACTTCTTTAAAACATATGCACCATGGTTCTTGTTCTGTAGATCTCACCATAAAGGACACATTGGTTCAAGCGGAATTGAAAAAAAACACTTTGTATAAGAATCATCGCATTTTTAAAGAGGAAAAATAGTACAAAAGTGTACCTAATTAACTACCATATAGCCATAATCATTTTGCAACCATTAATCAGTATGGATGTTGTAACCTTAATTACTATGAATGAGTACACATAACCCTTTTTGAAAATTATATGAAAGTAATACCTGAGGAAAAATCCTATAACCCTAATCAGTATGTCTGTTGTAACCCTGATCAGCATGTGTGCTGCAATCCTAATTAACATGTCTGCTGCAACCCCTAATCAGTATACCTTTGTAGCTCTAATTGGTATATGTACAGTGATCCTATTCAATATATATAGCATGAATAAGTATATGAGAACCGTATTTGAGAATAAAAAATGGTAGCAATCTGAAATGTGTAACACGTAAGTACAACATTTAGATTGCCATTGCATAAAATATATTCTAAAGTATATTAATTAATCAGATGTTTAGTTTTGTAGATTTTTCTCTAATCAGCACAGTGGTGCAAGCAAAATTGCAAACGAATACTCTAATAGAAAGTTATCGTATTTTGAAGTATGAAATACAAAACAAAAATATAGCGTACTGGCCTGATACAGACTCCTTCATATTTATCGGGAAAAAGTCTACTTTTGCTCCCTCATCTTTTGCGCTAGTTTACATTTGCTCCCTCATCTCTAAAACCAGGCACGGGACCTCCCACATCTCTCTAAACCACGCACCTGAACTTCCTCGGTGGTTTGGCCTCCGGTATTTGCTGAGCCAGGCTAAAAATAGAAGACGCGAGCGCCCGCTGGTCACGCTCCTCTTTTTTCCCCGAGTCCATGCGCGCCGCCGCCACTCCATGCGCGCCGCCGCCACCGTCTTGCCACGCCGCCATTAGGTTCGTCGTCATTGCTAGCCTGAAATCCTCCATGGCCCCTGGCACATCTCGCGTCCTCCTGCCGCAGCCTCCGTCCACAGAAGCGCCGCCGCTAGGAGGGAGCGGGCTGTCGCTAATCTGGTGCCCATACTGCGGGAAGGGGCGGATTTTGGAGCTGATGTCGAATACAGATGAGCACCCAATGGAAAGGTTCTTCAAATGCCCGAGGAAGTATAGACAGGTTAGATTTTTGAAATTTGTGGTGTTAATTGAAAGCTAGGGTTTGTACAGTGCAAACTGATTTTCCTTTTTTTTAGTTTCCTCGCTGTGATTTCTACATGTTCGAAGAAGAATATGCCAACTTTCTTGTTCATTATGGGATGCTTCAAGAATCCGAGATGTGCCATTACCGTCCACTGGAGACGACAGATTGTGTGGAAGCTGAGGTGTATGAACAGGCGCTACCACTGATGAAGAAAGAACCTGTTGGGGTGTATGATCCTCGGAGGACTGTGGCTTCGGCCAAGAAGGGAGGCACGAAGAAGCAAAAACATTGGAATTGGATGATGTGTGTTGGCGTTGCTGTCCTAGTGTTGTTAGGTTTCAATTCGGCCATTCTCCTTGTGTTGGTTGTCATGCAAATGTATAAATGACAACTGCTTATGTTTAATTTTCCATTGTAAAATGGTTCCAGTGACTTGTTCCTCAGTTATCAATGCATATGACTATGGAGCTCTTTGCTAGAGAATGACCTATGGTCCAGCACATGATATTGCATCTACTAGCCGAAATGACTAGTGAAACTAATTTTTAGCATATTCATCAGGACAATATGACGACATCAGAATGAAGGAGACAACCAAACAAACTTATTTATCAGATTATACAGATTTTCACCTAGTCAGAATGAAGGAGATAGAACCAACCAAACACGCCCTCCTTCATACCGATATAGTTCATTTTCTTATGCATGTACTCGTTTGCTGCAAACTTGCACCATCGTTTAGGACGCAGACAACAGAGCTAAAAGCACATGCTACATACTAATTGCCTAAACGTCGACGACATGTCCTTGTCAGTCGGAACCAGTAACGAAACGTCGACGACAGCAGAGTATCACGAGCAACCTAACTTGCCCTTCTCCGCCTAGAGTAGTGCAGGTAAGCTGAATCCAGGCCCTGATTATGACATTGTCACGCGTCTCCGCCCAGATGGGTATTGCACCTTTCAGAACTCACCAGCTACCAACTAAGAAAGATTGTGGCACATGTTCTGCAGAAGAGAACATGCCCTGGTTGCTGCTGGGTTCGTGGTGCATATATCACTTCTTCACCTCACTGGACTCATCTGCATACATGGAATAGGCTTGCAGGTTCACTGGACTCACTGGACATATATCACTACAGGTAAGCAAGAGAACATGCCCAGATGGTTCACATAACTTAAGACAAATTGTCATACATGGCAGTTCTAGTTTACTGCGTACATAAGAGGAAATAGATAACAACAGTCGTATCAGGTAGCATACATAATTGTCATACATCATAAAGGGCATATTTATTCAAGTTTGGCATACAACCAGACACACAAACACATCACAACTTATCAGATTTCTATGGAGGAAGAATCTGGAGTGGATTAGTTCCATATTTGTTTGGAATAGGCTTCTTCTTTGCTGGCTCTTGAGCAGACACATGAGCAGATGCAGTCCCACCAGTTAGCTGTACATTAACACTGCAGTTAACATTGGAAGTGGGCACTCTAGCTTGCAGGTTAATTGTAGCTGACCCAGAAGGAATTGTTGAAACCCTTGCACGTGCACTTGATTTGATGACGTTTTGTGAGTTTGTTGCCTTTGCCTACAACAATCAGAAGAAGCTAGAATTAATTTTAAATACAACTTGCATAACATAAAACTTGGAGATGTTGGTAAACATACCTTTTTCATGCTCTGTGCACTAGATACATCAGATGTGGCAGTCCTTTTTGTACCACTTGCCGTGCTCTTTTGTGTATTGGAAAGCACAACCATAGCATTTGGGTTACCTCCTGCAGCTGACTGAGATCCTGTTGGCTGTGATACTGGAACTGACTTATTTCCTGTTGGCTGTGATACTGGAACTGACTGAGAGCTACCTCCTGCTCTCTGAGAACCTCCTGCATGTGAAGGTCCTGCTCCACTTATGTTCGTACATGTTGACTTGTTGTGTCCAGGCAAGCGGCATTTGCTGCATCTGATAATTGTTCCAGTTTTTGACATTTTAGTGGCCTTTCTCACTTCTGTTGGTTCCCTTCTCCTCTCAGTCTTTGGCCTGCCAGGCATTTTCACATAACCAGGAGCTCTAAGGGGTTCCCTATCAGATGCAGGCCAGCTATTCATACCCTCAACTGGGTTTAAGCAATGACTATATGTTTGGTTGAAGTGGTGTACAGAGTAGCAGTCAGCCACATTGAGGATGTGTGTTCATTATAGCTTGTGCACCTGCTCTAGTGTGTTGTGCTAGCTTTGCTCTTGCCAAGTTGAAAAGCATCAAACAAGGTGCTTTGGCACACCTCCAAAATTTTTTCTGGTAGTCCTTCTTCATAAACTCCTTCTTCCAGTTTGCATAAATGTGCCTAGCACAGTTCCTGTGTTCAGCTTCAGGTGCCCATTTGCTGACAGCATTAAGAATTCCCTGAACAAGTTGGAAATATTATAAATCATCTGCCTTCATAGTTACAAATTTTAACATAACAAATGTTTTACAGCAGCATACCTTTTGCTGGTCTGAGATGAAAACCCATCCATGTCCTCCCTGCACACCAACATCCCTAAAGAGCATATCACAGAACCAATCCCAATTGTCGTTGTTCTCCTTGTCCACAACTGCCCAGGCAATAGGGTACATCTGGTTGTTGGCATCCCTCCCAATAGCACAAAGAAGTTCACCGTTAGTTGCTCCTTTGAAAAAGCATCCATCTAACCCAACAACTTTCCTACAGCCAGCTTTGAACCCTTCTTTGCAAGCATGCAGACATATGTACATTCTTCTAAAAATAGGAGGCTCTACATTATCTTCCTTGTTCACAATAACGTTGCTTCCTGGGTTGCTTCTGAGAAGCTCCATTTGGTAGTCATACAGCCTAGAGTACTGCTTTTTTTTTGCATCCAAAGCTTTCTGCATCACTAGTGATTTTGCTCTCTTTAGCTTCGACTTAGAAACGGTTGCAAACATTTCTTCTTGAACTGTCTGCTGCATGTGAGGTATTTTCCAGCATGGGTTGGCAAAAATAAACTTTTCATATTTCCTAGCAATTACAGCTGAGGTCACTAGTTTATTGTCTCTTCTAGGTGGACACATGTGATTATTTGTAAATGTAGATATTTGTCAACTATCAGACCTAGAAGTATTTGACAACAGACATACCCATGGACAACCTTCCCAGTCACATATTGCCCTCACCCTCTTTGGGTCATTCTTAATAAACCGAATAACCTTTCTCTCATCCAAGCCATGCTTAAGTGCAGCCTTCTTGAATTGCTTCTTGGAACTAAATTTCATTCCCAACTTAAACTTGACAACAGGCTTCTTCTTGTTAAATCTTGGATATAGGCTACCTTGCCCTGTACCCCCTAACTCATCAATAGATTCTGCATCACTACTATCTAAATATGGAGTGTTGTTGCCATCATCCTCATCCTCTTGTTCATTTTGAGGCCTAGAATCAACACCTTCATATATCACATCATCTAAGCTTGCTGCCTCACCCTTCTTTATCTTCTTCTTGAAATCCTTAAATTTCTTATGAATTTGGGTTGCTTCTTCATCATCACCAGAACTACATGAGTCTCCAGGCATGTACTCACCGTCAGTGTTAGACATCTCATCTCCATTTGTGTCTTCCGGCATGTTATTTGGAGTACAAAGAAATTGTGACAAGGTCAACTTGCTTGTCTATTTCTTTGCTTTCACCTTTCCAAATAGTCAAAGGTTGCAGATCTTCATCTTCTATCTCATTATCCTTGGAATTTTCTTCCATCTCTTCCTCATAGACACTTGCTTCAATAGTCGTGCATCATACTCATGATTTTCAAAGATACACATCTCGCAACATCACCTTCAACAATGCAATCGGACATGATCCGCACACTTTGTCATCAACTAAAGCTCTCAGCCTGTGCTCATGTCTCTCCTCGAAATAGCCAATGCAAAATTGTGCCTTCTTTGACATTGCAATGGTCACGGAGATGGCCAACAACTTCAGGCAGCGACAACTTGTCTCGGTCGATGTAAGACATAGCTTGAGTACCTCCAACATAAAACACTCCATTGCTATTCCTCAAGAACTCCCCATTAAAATGAAACCGAACAGGAGGAAGTCGCAACCATCCATGCCTAATCACGTGACACCTACATGCAGAAGATACAAAGCACGAGGTTCGAAGACTAATAAAATAGGTGCGGTAAGAACATTAGTGCTTAAAATAGGACTACAAGTGCTTAAAATAGGACTCTTGATGTACCCATTACTTGTTAAATTACACAATCACCAAGAAAAACAACTCAAAAAATACAGGATCCATTTGCGGCTTAGCGCCACCGTGGTGGTCTGCACCGTGCTTTCATGAGTTGGCGTGATGCGCGCCGAGGCCCAAGAGCACCGCCTCTGCATCATTGCATTGCGCCTCGGCGCCCGCCTGTGCCCAGCCAATGCACCGCTTGCTGCGCCCAACGCCCACTGCCCCGCCGCCTCTCGCAACTCGAATGCCGGAGCTAGGGTTCGTCAGTTTGGGGGATTTTTTTTAACGAACAGAGTCGATCAGATCTTGGGCACGGGCACTTCTACTTGATTTAGTCTTTCGACTCGGTGAATCTGGGAGGCCAAACCACCGAGGGAGGTCAGGTGCGTGGTTTGGAGAGATGAGGGAGGTCTTGTGCCTGGTTTTAGAGATGAGGGAGCAAAAGTGAACTAGCGCAAAAGATGAGGGAGCAAAAGTAGACTTTTTCCTATTTATCGCACACAAGCTATAGCCCACAAGGCATTTTTTGTACGTGGGCTGCCTCTCCCGCAGGCCAGCCCAGCCCAGCAGCCTACTCGCGCTTAGGTCAAGAGTTAAAGCCCCGACCACCGAGCGCGACAGGTAGAGCAACAGAGAGTCAGCGTGCCCGAGCTCCGTCCCCCGCAACGACTGGGCGGCCCGTCGCTGCCGCCCTTCTCCAGTCTTCTTCGGGCCCTTCGCCGCCCATGGCCATTGGTCTGCCCTTCTCCCGCTGTGCGAAACCGAGCACCCAAGCCCTAACTTACTATTTGTATTCGGATCTGATCTAATTGCAAGTGTATATGCATGTATTAATGTATTATGCCTACTGACTCCGATTGTCTTGTAAAAAATTATCGGGTGTACACGCATGTACTTCACTGGGTCCGCCTCTTTCTCTGGGGGCCATGAATTTCAGCTGATGAACTCAATTGTCTAAAATCTCATTTTCTCAATAAAAACGAAATTGCTTCATTTCTGGTCAAATGTGCTAACATAGATGGTTTGCCGTCCCCTGAACCAAAGTGAATGTATTAATTAGTTATCTAGTAGTTTTCTTAAGCCAAGGTCATTAAATTACGCTGTATATGATGGCATGGATTACATGGTTTGTAGAGCGACGAAATGTATTAATTCGCTTTTATGAAGCTATAATACCACATATGTATTCTTGTTATCATTTTGCTCTTCGGACAGGTTCCTAACTGCAGGGTTATTGCACTCAAGCTGCTTATTTGCTTACATATCTTTCCCTATCTATTGCAATGTTGCAGGAAGGGGGGAAATTATTCAGGAGATCCAGTAACTGGAAAATGAATAAGGGCAAGATTTTCAAGTTGGCTAAGGGATTTAGAGGAAGGGCGAAGAATTGCATAAGGATAGCAAGGGAGAGGGTCGAGAAAGCCTTGCAATATTCGTACAGGGACAGGCATAACAAGAAGAGGGATATGAGATCCCTTTGGATTGAGCGCATCAATTCTGGTACACGGTTGCACGGGGTATGTATCTATTGCAGTCAACTTGTGAAAAGGAATGGAATTTTGGCATTTGTTGGGAACATATAATCATGCTAATTTTAGACCATCTAGTTCAACACAATACTACCTACCTTGCATTTTACTGTTGAAGTTCTCATAGCTTTCTTGCATTTGACTATCAGGTGAATTATGGCAAATTTATGCACGGATTAATGAAGGAGAACATCCAACTCAATAGGAAGGTGCTCTCAGAGCTGTCGATGCATGAACCTTACAGCTTCAAGGCGCTTGTTGATGTATCCCGCACATCATTTCCAGGGAACAGGCCTGTCAAAAAGGAGGGTCTAGCAGCTATCCTGTGAGGCATATTTTCCAATGTGTCACTGAATTCATTATGGTCTTCCCTTCCTTGCAGTTCAGAGTTGCTAATACTATATAGTAGCTTGTATTACCTGGTGACTCATGTAACTTTGCATTACTAGTATTTCTGCTATTCCCTTTTGCTACTACTTCTGATAGACAAGACTGAACCGAAACACCTAATTGCACATTATTGTTCTTTTGGCCCCCTATCAGTTGGCTTTATGGAGATATAATCATCTGTGTGACGTTGACAATTTCAGCAATCAAATTGATTCTGTATCAAGGTAGAAGAGATTTGACCCATGTGGCTTATCAAAGTATGCAAGATTGTTATTTTCTGTCGTCTGCCAAGTTCTTTGCATGCATTTTGAAAAACTACACCGACCAAGCAGCCATTCTAAATGTATACCTATGCTACTTTTGATTTAGACAAAAAAGAAAGGAATCTCATGTATGGGCCTTTCCTTCTTGTCGAGGTAGAATGTATGCTGGTTAAGAAATATAAGAATGTCCTTTACGTTTCACTTGAAAGACTTATGGAGCATTCCTGCTTTATCACTGTAGCCCTGTTGCTAGTTATTGTGTCTTCAACTCCATACCTCTTTATTAGCTACTGGCCATGCAATAAATCTTGGCATCTTGTAAACAACTTGTTTTTCATAAAAGCTTATAAATTTCAACTTCCTTCTTGACAAACAGCTGTAAGCTAATTCACCTTTCCTGGTATTAACGCAAAGTCTCTAATTCACCTTTCCTGATATGTATTAACGCAAAGTCTCTAATTCACCTTTCCTGATATGTATTAACGCAAAGTCTCTTAGCGATCAAGATGCACTAGCTAATCAATTTGTCGTTGATGCCAGGTTGCTCAATATGCACCAAGGCAATTTCTTATTTCTCAACGAGAGGTGTTGCTACTGATCACAATATATCTCAGCTGTGCTGTACCCAAGTGTTCCGGTGTGTACAGGAACTAGGCTAACTTTTTTGTGTTGGCGACATGGCATAAATACTTATCTTTTCCTCAACAGAGCAAGATGAGAACAAGAGACAGAAATTCGTATTCGACGGAATGTGCACATCGCTTTTGTTCCCATCAAATCTGTACATCGCTTTTGTTCCCATGCAAGTGAAGTGAGAACACTGCACGTTGTTGATCGGAGGAGCGAAGCCGGCCATGCAAGTGGTGCGCTTTGCGCTGCTAGCTTCTCTCTAACTGGAATGCACTACTAGTTTTTCATCAATCTGGAGAATAAAATCGCAGCGCATCGTTGCATTATCGACAGTGTCTCTTGAAAATTGTTAATCCACAACTTCCCTTTTTTTTCGGCGCCTTTACAGGTTACGGAAAGGGACCTTAGTTTCTAAGTATACTCGAAGCTGAAAGATTGTGTGAACTGCAGAGGAAGTGGAAGTTCATTGAGGTCTTTCTGCTTCCTTTGTTCATGTGTTGCTCTTCTGCCATTGGCCCACGTAGCACACTTCATTTTCTTTCCTGCTTTTAGATTGACAATATATCTATCTATTGTATCATACAACACTAAAATAAACAACAAGCATATATCTTGTCGTTTATAATATTGGAATCGTTCCTTGACACTTGCATGTTGTATCGGAAGTGACTTTCAGAATGATTCTGCTAAGGTGCTTCTGAAAGCTCGATATTTCATCATTATATAGATAATAACACCTCTTGCTTTTGCTACAAAAAATTTGTTGGGTTTAATTGTACCGATTAGGTCACTATCACAAAGTCTGCGGCACCGGTTGAAATGCTGTGAATTGCCAAATATCCTATGCATTCTTTTCGAGTTTCGACCGGGACAACATCAGGAGATTAGGTGAATTCCTATGGACCATGCTACGCAGGTTGGCAAGCAACAGAAGCCTCATCTGGGAGAAGTCTTCACAGAACATTCATGAAGACTCTAGCAGACGAGGACATCTAGCATAATCATGTATTGAGAGGTTTCTGACTGAAGTTCTTGCGAAGCAAAATCGCCACGCTGTTCCATTATTCCACTGAGACTGGTCCATTTTTCTCTCTAGCCTGTAGGCTGTATAGCCACATATCTCTTTCACTTTTGGATGCATAATCTAGAGGTCTAGTGAATGGAAACGAATTTTGACATCTACATCAGTTATCTTCAAAAAAGTGGAAAAGGAAGGGCTACCAAAAGCTCAAGTACACTGGCTTCTATTTCAACTCCTGAAACTCGCTGTTGGACGATGATATGGTAATGTAATGTAAAGTTACAGCCATACATGAAAGCAAAGCATGGAAGATTAAGGCTTAATTAAGCTATCTTAATGTTCCTTGGAGCAGGTGGGGTTGTTCATCGCCAGGTCCTAAGATTGGTGGCCATCTCTGGAAAAGTGCTGCACAAGATCACCTGAGCTGAACACGACACTATGACATGCAATGCAAGGTAGTCTGACATACGAAAACTAGCAGGTGGTTCTTCCCTGACTGCGTCACGTTGCTTCTAGAGGCACCATTCGAACGCTTAGCATGGCAGGAACTATGTTCCATAGTTTTGCAACCTGTCTATCCTTGGTACTGTCTTTCTGCACCTTTATATTGTTTCTCTTTCTTTCTTTGCTATTTATGATACTCGTCCTTAAGATCTTAAGTCTCAGCAACCAAAGGATAATGGGTAAACCCCCACAATATGCCCACCTAACACTTCTCTGCCGAAGTAGCAGCCATGGTTTTGTTCGTCATTCAAGTAGATATATGAATAGGTCAAACTAGATGTTTAAATACAAATCTCATTGTTGATGCTTTTTACTTGCCCCTTAGTGATGATAATTACAGCCCTGTTCGCTTCTCTTATAATCCGTCTTTTTCAGCTTGTTTTTTCATCCAGAACAGTGTTTTTCTCTCACAAGTCACAACAAATCAGCCGGAACAATATTTCGGCTTGTTTTTTCAGCGAAGCGAACGGGGCCTACATGTTCAGATTAAGGGTTTCTTCCTGTGCTACACTATTTGACATTGTCCTCTTCTGACTTGCACCATCCTTCCTTGCCATCTCCATCACCAGGGAAACAGCCAGCTCACTAAACATTCTGAGGTTAGTCTAAAGTGTTAGGTGAGCCGATGGCTATCTCAGGAAGTCAGGACCAGGGACCTAGTTATTTACAAATTCTAAGCAGCAAGCACCATTTCAATTTCCTAATTTCACGGTAGTTGATCTCCGTACATTGTTGAATTGCGATCGCGTTGCGCATGTAAGCCATTCAGGTTAGCTTTAGATATGATACCCTCGTATAAATTAGTGGTAGATAGGTTGTCATGTAATAGCTTTAGATATGATACCCTCGTATTAGTGGTAGATAAGGGTATTCTGAATCCAAATACGCATGTAAGCCTTTCTGCTTTTAATATTGCACTGAGGTATAAATTAGTGGTACTGTGGTAGATAGGTTGTCAAGGAATTCTTTTTCTTCCTTTTTCCTTTTTTTGTGCATGGTGTGTCCGTGTGTGTGTTGGCCTGTTGGGGGTATAGTTGATAGTTCTGAGCGCTTCTTCGTGTACAAGGAACCTAGCTGACTTCTGAAGCAATTATACTCTTTTTAGACCAAAGGTTTTCACCCTGCTTATATTGAAAGGAAACGGTACTGCTGGGGATACCAGCTTACAGTGACAGAGATTAAGATTCCAAACATTACAGATGGTTTTAAGCACCTCTCCACCTCTCAGAATCTAGAACATAGAAAGACAAGCTAGCAAAGCTGCAAAAAAACAAAAGAAAGATGACAAGCATCCATCATTCAATAGCCATCAGAGCTCGGAGCCCTTGATCACCAGGCTCGGAGCCCCTCCTGAAGCTTCAGAATAGCATCCTCCATCAGCCCTTGGTCCTTCTCCTTGAGCATCTTCTTCCACTGCTTCAAAACGCCCACAATCTTGTAAGCAATGATTTTTGGTGACTTAATCAGCTTTTTGTTAAACACCCAATCATTCTTGGTTTTCCAGGTACACCAAGCAATACCAGCTAAAAGACATAAAGAAACACTCTTAGACCTCTCCACCTCACCAGCGTCTAACATATCTTGAAAGTTAGCTAAAGAAACAGGCCTCCGAGCCCATCTCAAACTAATGCGAACCCAAACCCAGATAACCTGAGTAATGTGACAACTAAAGAAAAGATGATCTCTTGTCTCTAGACGCCCACATTACTTGCAGAATTCTGAGTGCTTGCTCTTTCTTATCTTAAGCTGTTCTCCTGTTTGCACCCTATCATGCCAAAGCATCCAAAGAAAAACTTTGATTTTCAGCGGCATTTATACTCTTTGAACAACAGATATGTCCTTTTTGTTTCCTCTCTTTTCCCATCGCATTCACCTTTATTTGCTCTTGACCATTTCTTCAAATAATTCTCACGAAAGGGGGAAAAAGGGGCATTTTCATCTCGTGGTAAGGAGCAAGTTGCATCGTCGTGTTGTACAGCATGCCATCGTATGACTTTTTTTTTTTTTGGGGGGGGTGGGTGCAGTGACAAATTTTCCCATGACTCCGGACTTCGTCAAGGCACTGTAACCTAATGACCTGCTCTCGGATGATAAGAACTTTTTGGGTGTAACGTGTGTTGGATGTTCAATCCCATGGCAACCGACGAGCACAGTTCCTTGTATTTAGTCTGATTGAAAATGTGATGTAGCTTCATTCCTGGTCTTCCTACTTTGCATTGCACAGTCAGACGCGCGGGGAACACATGCACGGAAACTTAGTCAATTATATATTTTGCTTTCTTAATCACTTCCTTCGGTTAATTGATGATTATCTGATGGCCAACTTGATGTTTTTTTCCCTCCTCTCTTTTCTTGAAAACATCCATTTTGCAGCCACTCCTCTCAGCTGGAATGCAGAACTAGAAAGGTGGCTCACACAAATAATATAGGTAGCTAACCTTTTTCATTATAACATTCTCTCGCTTTCCACAAAATAATGCAATTATCGCGTTTCAAGAAGTCAAATGGTTTAAATGTTAAC